GGGTAAAATGTGTACATTTGGGCCCGAATCGGCGGTATCTCTATCTAGACTATGAGTTAAATTGAGTTTGGGGTATGATACCCTATCTTCTAATGGATAAACCCCATGCCCCAAATCTCTAAATCCAAACTCGAAGATCAATTAAGTAAATAATAATAATCAACGATTTTGATTTGTTGAAGTACAAAAAAGTACATCGAAAAGTCAGATCACTTGGAATATGGTATACTCCTCGAGCACATCAGGTATCACCATATATGATTTTTTATTTTAAGTTCTAAAACATTGGTGTTAGTGGAATTTTGTAAATAAACTGTCATTCAAAATTTTTACACCAGATTATACCAATTTTCATATATTTAGGACATGAAATTCGTTGATTTTTATGAACAACACATACATTCACATCACACAGTAAATATATTCACAACATGTGTTAATAGTATTCATAAAATGTGTTGAGCATTTCATAACACTTATTAATCATATATACTTTCTACTGTTGCATGAATATGTCTAGTAAGTTATATAAATATGTTAATGAACCAATCACTTTTGTTTGATCTTATTAGTGGTTAAGACAAACAAAATTGATCCGACTCCTCTTTTATTCCCCTCTTTTCTTCACATTTTCCCGCTTATAAGATAACTCTTGCAAGTCATGTACTTAATGAATTTAAATCCAATTCAATTTCAAATTATTCTAAATCTCTCTTTTTTTATATAAACTAGATAAGGGCCCGACCCGATGGTCGTCTCATTTGATCAATCAAATAATAATTATAATTGTAGGATGCGTGATAATATTTATCGGTATAAAAGAATTCGAATTATTTAATTACTGGAAAAGTTTTAAAAAATATACATCATAATTTTCCGACATTCTAACCGATTCATCGTCCAAAATCCTTACCAAAAGAAACATACGCAAAGAAACCGACATCTAAAAAGCTTTACAAAACCACACTTCGATTTTACTCATCAATATCAAAAGTAATGCAAAATTTTTGGACTTATTTGAGATTGCTTCACCATAAATACATCTTCATATCCACTGATAACAGTGCATTCATCCCCATAAATGAAACCCCTATCTCTTCATCAAATATGATCTTTCTTTTTCTCAACAATGTCATTATGTTCGTCTTAGAAGAAATTAATAGTTATTCTTTTGATGTTATTAATTATTATATCACAATGATCCGAACACTTCGCATCTCTTCGATACGGATACAATAATGATCAAGAATCTCCTCTGGTACGTCAGGATCCAATTGGTCATGAACATCGTAAGGTACTGTTTTTTGCAAATCTTATTCCTAGTTGGGATGGGTAGGCCCGCCACTTCACTTAGGCTCGTGCCAAGTCAGGGGGGCGACAGTCGTGTTATTAATTGTGTGAATTTGTGTTTTGTGGGTTTTGGGTGGCGGCCAAGTCAATGGCTTAGTAGTATTAGATTTTAGGTGAGTTCCTATACATTTGTACTTTATACATTCAGTAAGATTATTAGCTATGAAAAAGAATATTTGACTAATCAATCCCCAAACCTCTCAATGTTCTTCCTGTCTGATCCCCTTAATGTTGTTCTATGTACAAATCCTACTTGTGTTCTACATATACTTCGTTTTTTATCAATTCTCATATGACCCCCATAATTTCGAGTACCAATTCTTTGTCGTCTAGTCTATTTATTTTCCTTATTTTTTTCGAATTCTCCTTTAATTTTACTGGTATGTTAATCAACCTTGGATACCAAGATCCTCTCGAATTTGAGGTTGGACAGCAAGACAGAATCGAATCGAGATAAGAATTTATGTTTTAGTGGGTATGACACTTTTTTCTCAAATAAATGAACATGAAGTTGAAAACAATAGAAGAGTAGAGATAGATTAGTACCTAGATGTTATCTTCCTAATATTATTGCACAAAGTACTCCTTGGAGTGCATTTCAACTGTTAAATATAGGTTGCATATTCAACATATCATCACAAATTCCTAACTTTGAAAACTTTAAATTGCATGAAAATGCTCATTGTTCTAATTATTACTGAAAAAATTATTATCTAAATATTGATGACTCATTGAAACTCATATTTACCTCTTCTCATTTATGATTTTTCATTCTTTTATAGTGGGTCTATGATTTTAATTTTGTTGAGCTCGTACAATGTTTTGGTGGAGCTAGATTCGTGGTCGCGTTTGATCTTTGACTCTCGTTGGACGAGGTATTTCATATCCATCACTCTTATCACAAAACAATGATTAGGAAATCAAAAGTTATTTTTTAACTCCTAAATTATCGAACACAACAAAATACATAAATTCAAATGATATTAGTTTTAACATAACCCAAAGTTAGTCACTTCCAAAGTTTGTAGATTTGCCAGCAGCAAAGTGACAATAGATGAGAGTAATGTATTCTCATATGCAAAATTAACCATCTATTAATCAAATCAAGCGCGTGAATTACATTCAACTCGATATTTACCCTGTTCTGTAGAATAACCTTCACAATTTTGAAATTTATAGTATATTTAATGCCTTCAAGGTACACATATGAATGATAGTATTTCCAAATCATGTTATTCTACTTACCCATGCCTGGAATGAGAAGATAAAACCTTAAACAATATCAAGTTGCATCGCTGAAGAGACATAGAAGATGCATGAAAAGGAACATATTTTCTTTTTTATTATGGGAATATGGGCTAGTTTGGCCCTGTTGTAACTTTTGCAGAAGCAGCAAAGTGACGATAGATGAGAATAATGTCTTCCCATATGCAAAATTAACAATCCATTAATCAAACCAAGCTTGTGAATTACATTCAAACTCGATATTTACCTTGTTCTATAGAATAACCTTCACAATTTTGAAATTTATACTATATTTAATGCCTCCAAGGTACACATTTGAATGATAGTATTTCCAAATCATGTTATTCTACTTACCCATGCCTGGAATGGGAAGATAAAACCTTAAACAATATCAAGTTGCATTGCTGAAGAGACTTAGAAGATGCATGAAAAGGAACATATTTTCTTTTTCATTATGGGAATATGGGCTAGTTTGGCCCTGTTTTAGCTTTTGCAGAAGCAGCTTCTGGCTGGAGCTTTTAGAGAAGTACTTTTCAAAAAAAGTAGTTGAGTGTTTGGCTGAAAAACAATTAAAAGTGCTTTTTAATATGATAGGTTGTGTAAAATGACTATAAAGGAGTTATAATATAAACTATGAATAAAAATTCTAAACAATAAAAAGTAGTCAAAATGGATCTTGGTAGATTTCTTTTATATTAAATAATATTAATTTATAATTTATTTTATTTATAAAATGATATAAATGAAATTAAATTATATTTTCTGAAATTAAATTAAAATATGCTAAGGATAATATTGTATTTTCAAAAAAACTTTTTACATAAGCTCTAAATTGGAGCTTCTGCTTTTATCTTATACAAAAGCGCTTTTCAGCTTTTCAAAAGCCGAGCTTTTAGAGGTGTTTGGCCCTCCTTAAACTTTTGAAGGCGAAAATCACTTCTAAAATTCAGGCCAAACATAGGGATTACATTTGTAAAACATTTATAAAAATTTAATTTATAAATCCTATCCAACAAATCTACTAACAGTTAGACCTTTAAATCTTTTGTATTTAACTAAAACTAATTTGCGCAGGACGCTAGAAATTTCCAATTGCATATGATCTGGTCGAGAACGTCTATATATTAGTGGTAGGATGACACCATTTATTTGGATGAGCAACAATTGTTGTCCTCCAATTTCGAGGGGTAAATTGTCTTGTCTGACCTATATATTAGGGGCATCGACAGAGTGTTGAACACTTGTTCTATATATGTCTCATGATAGTATAATTCTCGTCTCTTGTGGGTTTAATTTTTAAGTGATTTCTTATTTTGGCCCTACTATCAATTTTAGCCTATAGAAGCTTACGATATGCTCTCTCTTGTCACTCCCAAACCCATTTTTCCCAATGTGTCTGCTTATTGTCGAGAATTTGAATGTTTGAAAATAAAGCGGCTTTGAGCATACTAGTCAACCACATGATCTTTCTCTTTATCATCAATACTAGCTTATTACCCGGCCCGTTGGCCGGATTACTGTATGTTACCCACTTGTGGAATGGGAGAGAAAGCAAGTGAGAGTGAAGGGATTGGGATTCCACTTGATTAGGACCGACCCACTAATCTAATTCTTCCCGACCCGCCCCAACCTACAGGGTCAAAAAGAGTCAATAAGAAAATACGAACGGGGAGGATTAGTCATATATCTTGACTCTTCAGAAGTGGGTCAAACAGGATCAAGGTTGGGTGAGGGCAATTTTTAGCGCTAAGCAGAGTTCTGGTTGAATACCTTTACTTAAGCCTAGAAATTGGTGCTGATGCAGACTGCAGTTTTTATTATACCATCATCAATCATCATTGAATTAGTCCTGGGCATCCCTCCCCGTTGTCGGTCTGAATTCTAATGATGGCTTCATTCCTTGCACCAGCCATATCAGCGAGTTGCCATCTCGAACATGATTTGCCTATGTACAAATAATACAATTAGAGTATGAAAATGAATTCAATGAAAAGGAAAAGAGAATTCTATCACATGCCAATAAATACACACATAATAGTTGAAGCTAAGTGAAAGTCATTACTCGCACATCAATTCTAAAAAATTACAGACTAAACATTGGCTAGAATGACACTGAAACTACCAAGAATCATGGACGAAACAACTTGTCAAATTAAATAATCCTTATACTGAAACTACCTTCTAACTTGAAATAAGACATGATCACAGTTCATAGCTCTCTTCTCACTATGAATTGGTTGCAGCTCGTCCTTATCACTGCCTCTCAAGCTCAATTCAAACAGAATAGAGACCGTTATGTAAGATAACCATATTCTTATTGATCATAATTCCTTTCTTCACTCCATTTTTGTCGGAGAAAAGAGTTATCCCCCTCTCCTGCATTTCCCTTTCCCCCTCTCTTCTCCCTCTTCTTCACAAACCGATCCCTAAACCAGCAATAACAACACAAAAATAGCCTTCGCCTCTCCCGTCTCCATCTATTGAACGCGTTGGTGGCAAGACAGGACTGCAGAAGCAAAATTTTCTAAAATCAACCTAAATTTTTTGAAGCAGACTCAACCACGAAAAAAGAGTTAAGCAACAATGCAGTAGAACCCTAAATTTAACTACAATCAAGCACATATCAGCAAGACTTTCGATTTGTCTGAGAGTTAACTACACGGAGAGAACAATTGATGCATAATTGAAATGCTCCAAGCAAGTTGAAGGCAAACCATAACTTTAGAATTTGGTCATTATAATAACCTTCAAGTATTGATGCTTCTAAGAACTATCATGTCCAACCCCCACTTATACAACTACGTAGCCATAGTAATTAGTTGTATAATGAGAAATATTACAAAGAAAACTACATAAACAACCAATGTAAGTAAATATTAAAACTAACAACTGATAAAACTTAAAATCTCTCTATTGGTATAAATGTATCTATTAGTAACTACTATGCAATCGAGTATATATGATTTTTAGGCACTGAATAAGAAAAGTATAGATGGCTCACAAATGAAGACGTAGCAACTGAAGGTAGCACACAAAAACCAAAAATAGAAAAAGAGATAAGAAAAAAGGCGAGAAAAAGTCAAACAAAGAAAAAGCCCACATAGGAATACCTCGCTAGCTTTAGGGACTCTCTGCCACAACAAACAACCTTCTTAAAAATCTAACACCCTGAGACATCAAACAAACCTCCCACGACACTAATGTATGTCATTCCTATTGTCCAATAGGTTTTCCCAATTTAGACTTCTAAATAAATGGACTTTTCACCATTAAACCAAAACTCACAATCATTAACAGTTAATGCAAAGACATACATTTCTGAGGCCAATCACAGCATTTAAGCATAATTTTTAGTTGAAAAGAACAACTAAGTATTTAGCTAAATGATATAGTAGAATGGACACAATCTGCTACCTACTAATGATATAAACGTGTACCGGTACCATCGTTGTATCATGACTTGCCATTTGCAACGGGCACTTTGAAAGACAGCTGCATTTTAGAGAATAAACACCCATAAGGGCGTTACGAAACCAAGCTTAATCCAAAATCTTCATATTCCACTTCGAAGACTCCATTTTCAAAAATAAGAGAGTTTAACATGTCAAATCACTCATTTGAAAAATCTCAAACAACTATTAATCAATGCAATATAATGGCACGTTCCAAATTATGTACTTGTAGGAATAATCCCAAATAATTATCAATTAATGCCCCAACTACCTAATGTGCAGAATAGCCCTGGAGCTGTGCTGTTGTTTGCGTTGGTCTACCTTCAAACATAACATAGTTGCATCACGAACCAATTTGGCCAATGCTTTATACATATTGTTTACCCCTGGACCTGTTGCACTTGCGCCTTCAGATCTTCGTGAACACAATACAATTGCGGAGAGGAGGCTGTCAACGGAATAAAAATTGTTAATTAAGTGAATCACCATACAACTAAACAAACGCGCTCTTCTTCATTAGCTATCAAAATAGTGGGGGTCGCTACAATCCATCGGTTGCTCCCTCTGCGCCTAAGTTGTAGATATTAGGTTTCAGTGAGAACTTTGAGTACATGAGGAGATATTTTGTAGTGGAGGAGATGACCCGTCGAGTAGAATAGGAAGATTTGGAGAGGCTGCGATGGGCAAAGCAGTTAAAATCGAGATTTTACCTAAAATCGAAAACTGGGGTAAAATCAAAATCGTATAATCGAATCGTAAAATCGTAGGATTTTAAGTACCATATAGAACATAGCATATAAGAATATTAATAAGGTAAATTATTAATATCACAAAGACACATAGCATTTAAAATGATAATTCAGAAGATTTTTTTTCCATAAGATAATTCTCAAGATTAATGTTCCAAAATCACTATTTTAATTGTTATTTAATGTGTAACTCAAAATAATTCATGATGAAGGGATATAGTTCATGGGTTTGGCTCTTATTTTCATGTTATGTCTAGGTTGTTTAACTCAAAGTAATATTTCGACATCGTCTACTAAGTATGATTTAAAACTAAAAATAATTGAACTCCAATAAAATAAGTAATGTTAGTGGCTTGGTACAAATATATTCATTAATAAATTAATTAGTTAATAATGATGTTAGTTCTTACATACTTCCAATATTAGGACAGGTGTTTTACCAATAAGTTAAATGGGGTGAAGGAAAAGAGATTAACCGAACCCTAATTTGGTTATTTTTATTATTTTTGAATATTTTTCTAATAGAAAAATATCTGAGAAGATTCCATTGCCCTTTCCGCTGAAACAGTTATACTTATTTTAAATTGGCTCAAACCACCTATTTTGTTCTCTTACGATCAAAATCCCGATTTCGGTACTATTTAACGATTTTAACGATTTTAGTCCCGATTTTAAACGATTTTAAGGTCCACCAATTTTATAGTAAAATTAAGATCGGAATCCCTAAGTAAAATCCTAAAATCCTACGATTTTACGATCAAAATCTCGAATTTGACTGCATTGGCGATGGGTGCACGATTAGTGGGCCAAATAACAGTTTGGGCCCGTTTAAATGAAAACATATTTTTACTTTCGTGCTCAACAGACCGACCGCACAGGCATCTTCTAAATTTACCCCTAAAAAATTGCTCTGTACGCATCAAATTTGAAATGGAATCCCTCTTTTCTCATTTCACATTTCACATTTATATGATGTGTAGATTGTGATGAGTGTAGATGTAGACCTGTCATTGTCCTACAAATTCATTAACACGCCAAAAAGTGGTGAAATGAGCCACCCTATTAAACACAATCTTGTATAATGATCATTGGATCCAATCATGCCAGATTATGAAGAAGTTTAAAATGTAGCGGTTATCCCGACTAAAACATTAAAAGAACCAGTCTCATATAGTTTGCACAAAGATATAATTTCTCCATAGTAATTCTGAAAAATAATATTAATTTAAGAAGTCGATATTGCTTCTACATGTTTAATATTGCAATTCGATATGCAATATTCGAACCAGTGATATTTGGGCTGCAATGTTAGGTTTATTGTATATTTATAAAATAGATAGAAATTTAAATTAAGTATTAAACTACAATTAAAATAATCAAAGTATTAGAACACCAAATAAGTACTTACGGGAGATTCAGTGGCCAACTAATCGTTAAAAAAGTCATATGATTTTCATAATTTAGGTTCGTGTATGTTTGAATTTAAATAGATACAATAAATATACTTAGTTTGATTGGTTATGATCCTTGCTTGCCTTTAAAGAGACCAAGGTTCAAATCCCAGTGCATGCCTTTTTTATGAATAAATAAATAAGAAAATAAGCAATTGTGAAGACCAAAATGTCCTTCCTATAATCATTCTCGTTGCAGGAAATTTGAAATGGAGCAACCGTTTTTATCATTCGGCTTTTATTTATTATCTAGATTCTTTTCCACGACCATGATTTTGTTGCTGCCTCACTTCTACATCCGGATCCTCACCCTCTCCAGCATCATTCGTCTCCAGCTCTATATATGTTCCCCTCCTGCTACTTCATGAAGACAAACTTTGATAATGTTGTTCGTTACTCTAGCCTCTAGGGATTCATTTGGTCTAGCAGTGCGCTATTGGTGATTGAGGCTCTCCATCCCGATGTCTCTTATACCTTTGTTTTGGAGCTGCTTGTTGCTAGAGATTCCTTTTTCTCGAAGAACACCTTGTTTGATCTCGGAGGGCGATTTTGAGGCGGTGTTCCGTCAGTTTCGTCAAAGGGTGGTGGCAGGTTCGCTTGGAGTGCCCCTGCTCCAAAAATGTAGCAAGCCATTCCCTTCTCTTTCCTATTGTATAGATTTTAGGGTGATCGTGCAAAACCAATTGCATTGATGTGGGTACCAATTGCATATTTGCAAGTTTGCAACAAATGCAATTCCATATGTAAGTAAAAAAAGCCTAAAAAATTGAGATTTTTATTGTATATTATTTTCTTCTCTTTTACTTAATTTTCTATAATTTAAACGTAATATTTAATTATATTTGCAATTGCAAGTTAATTGCATTGATGTAGGTGAATGAAATGAATGTGATGTGGATTGCAAAAAATTTGAGTTGACAATAAAAAACACAAATGTAATTTCTTTTGCAATTGCATCGATGGAGATTCTCTTAGCCATTCTTTTCTCTTTCCTATTGTATAATAAATTTTAGAGTGATCGCGACACGCCTCTCTATTATTTCTTACATCAAACATGCACATGTACTTTGTAAAAATGATTAAACATGCTCTTTTGTTAAAATTTTCATCCAAAAACCGTTAACCAATGCCGAACTTTAGTTTGGGCGACACAAATGACTAAAATATCCATAATAAATTCACTTTAGAATTTTTTTTGTTCTTTTGTATAATCAAATCATTCAAATAATTTCACTTTGAAAAAACCAGGGAAATAAAACAGGGGACAAAACTGACATTTTTCCTCCCATTTGCCGATGTCGGGTCATCTAAATCTCGGTTCAACCACGATTGATGATTTTTTCAATGAAAATTTTAACAGAAGGGCATGTTTGATAATTTTTTCAAAGTACAGGGGCATATTTGATGTAAAAAATAGTAGAGGGGCATGTTTGATAAAACGTCATAGTAGAGAGGTATATTATACCTATAACCCTTTTTCTTTTTAGGGTGACTTCAATGGTGTGTTGCTTCGGCAGGGTTCATGGATTGGTGATTTTTTTTACTTTCTATTCTAATGGTATCTCTTATTTTTATATCTTAAAAAATGGAATTGATCCGACCCCAAGCGAGATAATTATTTTGGTGAAATATTGTTGCAAATTGATTGATGAAGTCAACTTCAAGCATTTCAAGCATGATGGTTGTGGAAATCAAAGTGGAATTGGGCTTCAACAATCACGCCTGTGTTATGGAGTTAATAAGTAGTGATGGCAATGCGGCGGGGTGGGCCGGGTACCTCTTTTTTTTTTTTTTTTTTTTTTTTTTTGACAAAAGGTAATCAATAGATTAATAATAAATAGATCAGTACATCCTGGAATTCAGCCAGGCCAGGAAATCAAACGAACGACAAGCAGTCGGGAACAAAGCCAGGGCCTTTCTAGCTACCAAATGAGCTACCCTATTGTTTCGTCGACCTACAAATCGTACAGAGAAGCCTATGTTTAAAGCAAAAGAATTGGCTATCTCTTCCAAAATTGCCCCTATATGATTATCCCGAATATCTTTCCGGAGAATCTTCTCAATTATCACCTGGGCATCTCCTTCAAATCTCACACTCGTGAACCCATTCATCAAGCACCAGCTAATCGCCTCCCGGAGAGCCAGCGCTTCAACTATCATTGGATTACTATGGGCCACGGGTTCTTTTTCTTTGGTGATCTTAGGTTACTGGTTCCATGTTCTAACTGTGGTTAGTCCTTTTGCTTTTTTTTTTTTTTTTTTTTTCTCTTGCAGGGTTTCCCCGGAAACGAATTGGTATTGTTGCCAGCGACAATCGTGGCTATCATTTTGTTGAAAGGGACAGTATGCGGTGGATTCTGACACTCTCTGTTGATGTTTATCGCAACATTATCTCCCTCAACTTGTATTGCAGAGTGATTCTGTAAACCCTTTCCTTTGCTGCCCAGAGATCACGCCCCGTTTTTATTTCTTCCCCTCCTTCAGTGCATAATCCATGGGATCCTCCTTTTTTGTTGTCGTGCCGTGCTATGTGCGCCAGATTAGTTGAATAGTGGAAGTTAGAAACCCCCACCAATTTCTTACTTCTTTTTTGCCCCGCTCAACTTGTTACTAGCTCATCTCCCCTGTTTGAAGCTTTCGGGTGTCCTAATTGTTGCTGATAAGTCTGGATTTCACTTGCAAGCGATTCATCTTGTAACTGGTCGGGCTCTGTTTGATTTGCTTGCATTCGAAGACTGTCGTTGTGTTTACACATTGAAGGGATTTGGAAGTAGTTATGGTAAGCCAAGCAGCAAGCCAAACAAATTTTCGGGCAGTGAAGTACGAAAATGGGATTGCTGGGAGTGCGGCCATAGTTGTTAGAGTTATAGCATGCTTTCATACATTACTGGAGTGCCAGGTGAAAATTCATACATTACTTTCTTCTGCTGTTTGATTCCATGTATGCTGTAATATATATTTTGCCAGTGGTATATACTAATTCTGTTCACTTGCATTCTTCCAGGCTGAATATTTCCGCCACTTGCTGAAACCTGTAACGTAGATATTGTTTCCTGCATTTGTGTTTTCAAGTTTGATCTGGAGTTTCTTCTTTTTACCATCGCATCTAAAAGAATTAGCCAGTAAACCCGAAGCTTTTGACATCCAGAATTTCTTTGCGGTATGTTTCGTGTCTCTTGCTTGGATTTTAGCTGTGAATAATTTATCTTATGCCCTAGATATAAGCATTGTATTGATTTCTGCATGTTCTGTGTCACAGGTGATTGCTTAAAGTTGGATGGGAGAACCTCTTGGTTCCTGGATCCCACAGCAGCTATTTCATTGGCAATCACCCAATATGGATTATATGGGTTCTCAGTATTTCCAATCTGGTCAACAGGATCATATTACTTCCCATATGAACTCAAGAATTCCCATGGTATCCCCAAATGGGAATCTGGGCACCCACCCTTTCCAGGAGCTACCTCACTCAAAGGTTGACGGTCAGACCAACGAACATGGTAGCTGGTTTTATGGGTCCCCACATTTCAGAGAGGCCTTTATGCCTGATCTCGACTCTGCTCTTCTGAAGGGGAGTCTCTATTCTGCACCGAATCCAGTTATCAATCCCATTACAGAATCTGCCACCGGTGGTCAGAAGAGATTCCTTGTCTTTGATCAGTCTGGTGATCAAACAACTCTCATCTTCAGCTCGGACGTTGCGCCACCTGCCCCGTGCCTTACTTCTTGGAGTCCAAAGCCAATTGTTGCAGCTTCCAAGTTCAATAATGCACAGCATGTATCCAAGGAACCTCTAAATCTCCAGTTGAATCAGACATCAACTGAAAATGATCATGGCCGGACTGGTTTCGAGAGTGAGATGCAGGAGGACACAGAAGAACTGAATGCCTTGCTTTACTCTGATGATTACACCGATTGCACAGATGATGACGATGAAGTTACCAGCACAGATCATTCGCCCAGTACAATGACAGCTCACAATAAGCCAGGGGGTTTATCAAATAGCAGCAAAACAGAAGAGGTTGCCAGTTCTGATGGTTGGACTAGGAAGAAAAGGAAGCGGTTTGATGGAGTTCATAGCGACGACATGCCATCACTTGTGGACACTGCCAGTTCTGTGAAGGTCGAAAGCAAAGTATCCGAGTATGAAGATGATGCGGAATCCAAGTGCTGTGGTGGGTTCAATGCAGCATCAAGTGAAAACCTGGGCTCTGAATTCGACAGTAAGAGGATGACGAAAAAGAGAATACGCGAGACAGTGAGCATTTTGCAGAATTTAATTCCGGATGGGGAGGGCAAGGATGCAGTTGCAGTTCTAGACGAGGCCATCCATTACTTAAAATCGCTGAAGGTGAAAGCAAAAGCCTTGGGTCTTACTGCTATCCGGTGAATGGCGAGCAGCAGCAGGATGCCAGTGGCAGAGGTTACCTGGCCATGACAAATTAGTCACCATCTACTAGAACCTACTATCCTTAGTATTTTAAGAATAAGCTTTTGAGTTGTGTGCGTTGAGCAGCAAGTAAGTTTTGAACTGCTAATCTGGTAAAATGTGGAGGTGAATGGTTGGTGGCGTCAAAGGAAAGGGGTGTTTGGAGGGAGAGATGCGAGGCAAGCAGTAGCAGGTGGTCTTTACTCTTTGGTTGAATGATGATGAGGTTGGAAATCAGTAGCAGGGCTTCTTCAGATATGGTGGGAGGGTGGTGGAGTGCAGCATATAATTGCTAATAAAGTGAAAGATGGAGGAAGAATGATTAAGGTAAGGAGGAGGGGGCTACGGGCTTAGGGTTTAGTGAAAGTAAAGAGGAGGGGTCAGAACAGAAGAGTTGGGCGTGGGGGGAGTTTGGTATGTGAAATGAGAAGTGTGGAAGGCAAGAACAGAGGGACCCTCCACTCCAGAAAAAGGAAAAGGAAGGCACGCTTCTACTCTCTCTCTCTCTCTCTCTCTCTCTCTCTCTCAGTTCTCTCTCTACCCTATGTATGGATGGTTAGCCTGGGTCCCACCCTCTCACTTTCTAAGATCGATTATGGTTTGATAATGAATAGAGTCGAATGTTGGGAGTTGTTAAAGTGATGTCTGGGTCAATCTTATATGGTATTTGTTTTAGTTCAAGTGTGTTTGTTTTGTTGGGTTTGATGTTGATTTGGGTGATGGGTTGGAATCTTGGTTTTCGATATTTTGGGTGGACTTTTTGTGTATATGATATAATGGAATGTAATGGCAATGGTAATGGAGGAGTGAGTTTTTTGTTGGTGGTGTTGTCATCACGCGGGTTGTATTCACGTAGCATGCGTCCCATAAATATAAAAACAATAGAGTGAGGACTGAGGATATGATATGGTTATGATATATATCTATGGGGTACAGAGAGAGTGAGATAGCGATGTCTCAGAAAAGTGGGCGTGGGAATGCGATACTCACTTCGCCATCGATGCGCATCAATAAAAATAAAAGAAAGCAAGGGACTCAGAGCGGTGATGTTTTCTCTTTCTTTGGTTTGGTGTTTTGTAGCTTTTCCGTGACTTATTATTACTGAATCGCTATTTGCCGCCCGCCCCTTTACTATTTGCCGCCCGTAGTTACAAAAAATATGACGAATTTGCCCCTCCTTCTAACTAACCATAAATCCTATCAAACTCATCCCTCACAACCTCCTCGCATAAGCTGCCGGCGGCGGCGACCGCTGCTCCCACCGCCGACCCCTCTACTGCTCCCACCACCAACACCTCCATTCCTCCGACCTGGTCCGCCGACCCCTCCACAACCTCCCCTCACAAAATCGCGGACGTTGAAGAGGAAGGAGCTCGCCACGGGTGCTGTCGTCGCCGACGTAAAGGAAGGGGTCCGACAGCCGGACGCGGACGGGGTCCGACCGCCGGAAGCGGACGGGGTCCGAAATCCATCGGCGGACCGGTTCCGAAAACCGTCGGTTACTGTTTTTTTTTTTCAAAAATCGTGTTTGAATTATAATTTATTTATTTAGTAATTAAATAAGTGTAAAATACCATAATTAGGATTTAAATAATTATAAGTATGATAATTAAGCAAATTGAAGAGAATTTTTTAAGGCAAGTTTTCGAAAGAGAAAATTGAGTAATAAGTTTTCGGAAGAAAATTTCCGTAATTAACAATATATTATTTTGATTATATAATACATCTAATGATTATCATTTATTAATATATTAACATCCCAATCCAAATAAGTTAACAACTCAATCCACTTATGGTAGTTGATTGAGGGAATTAGGGTTGACTTAATAAGGGTTTGACCCGAATTAGGGTATGAGCCGAATTAAGGTTTGATTTAATTAGGGTTTGACCCGTATTAAGGTTTGGCATAATTAGGGTTTGACCCGAATTAGGGTTTGACTAAATTATATATTATTTTGACCACAGTTGTTTGAGGGAATTAGGGTTTGACTTAATTAGGGTTTGATCCAAATTAGGGTTTGACTTCTATAGGGTTTGACTTGAATTAAGGTTTGATTTATATAGAGTTTGACCCGAATTAAGGTTTGACATAATTAGGGTTTGACTTAATTAGGGTTTTACCCGAATTAGGGTTTGACTAAATTATATATTATTTTTGACCACTATTGTTTGAGGGAATTAGGGTTTGACTTAATTAGGGTTTGATCCGAATTAGGGTTTGACTTAATTAGGGTTTAACCACAATTGAAATATAATTTAGGTACGTTGATCTTATTAAATATGAAATAAATACAATTAAAAACATAATTTATACACTACTTCAGATAATTTGTAATTATTTAACATACTATAATTATTTAATTGGTATTATACTGAATTTATTTATTTTAGCTCTATTTACATAATTATAAAATAAGTATGAATTAGTTTGTGCAATATTTTTTATAATTTTATTTTATTTTTTATAAATGCACGGTCCGCTCGCCGGCGTCGGACTGGGTCCGCTCGCCGGCGTCGGACGGGGTCCTCCCGCCGGCGTCGGACGGGGTCCTCCCGCCGGCATCGGACGGGGTCCTCCCGCCGGCTGTGATGATTTGGTTCTGGCCGCAGTGGTGATCTGGCGGTGGTGGTGGACTGGCGCCGGTGACAGCAGGAGTGGCGGGGTTTGTTTTATAAAAAAATGACAAAGGGTAAAAATGTCATTTTAGTTTAATTTACGGGCGGCAAATAGTAAAGGGACGGGCGGCAAATAGTAACCCTTGGGTTGTCAGGACCAGCAGGGTACGCAGTGCAGATATTTTAGCTGATATGCAACTGTTCAGGTTCTCCCACACATAATCACTAAGCCCAATTGGTGCTTGGTGGGTTCTTTCTTTTACATAAATCACATTGTGACCCAAATCACCTTGTGCGGGAAGGAGGCTAAACTTACTGGTAGGTACTTTTGTTCTTCTTTCTGAGTTCTTCCTCCATTTTCTTCTGAGTTCTTCAGTAGTACACAACACAGATAAAAAGACAAGGAAGACCAAAAAAAGTCGTGGGATCGTACCCCGGGGGTTGTTAAAAGGGAGAGTGGAAGGGATGCTGACGGACTGGGGAGAAAGGAAAAAAGAAAGGCAAAGGCTTTTCTCTTTTCAGTTTTCAGTTTTGTTTTGTTTTGAGTTTTGACAGAGTCTGAGTCTGGGTGTAGAAGAGAATAACTCAGCCCAGGCCCGGCGTGGGCACGGCCGGGAAGGCAGAGGCGTGCAAATGCAATCCATGCATGCGATCTGTGACTGTGAGAGGCAAAAATGGGCAGTAGCTAGCCGCTGACGTTAACTTAATTGTTAACCACTTGCTTGACGCTTCTCTATTGGGCAGGTTCAGCGTCAAACAAAGCTACCTTTCTTGTCTTCCACCTATTTTACTTTCCACTGATTTGGGTCTGTTCCGCAGATTAAAGGGTGACTGAGATTGCTTTCCCTTTTTTTTTTTCTTTTTTCCTTCTTCAAAATTTTCAGCTTATTTGTGGTCAAAGGGGACCGATAGGTACTGTTATGGTTTATTGGAGATATTACTCACTTTTACCATCCGTTCAATCTCAAGGACCAGCAACTAACCCATCACAATTCTGTTTATTGTTATTTATAGAAAATAAGCACTAGTGCCATTGTCAAACTTAAGGCAGACGGGATCTAGGTTAAGAGGAGGTGTGTTTCAAAAGTTGTAATTGACACAGCTCGGACCTCGGTTGTAATTGCAAGTAGTGAAATGCATTTTTTTTAATCCTGTGAGTTGATACAAATTTATGTTTGAAATTAGATTAGTGACGACTTTACCAATGGTTGTTGGGTTATATGCATTGAAAAAAAATTTGAGTTACAAAATAAGCATTATATGTTGTTCACAAACCTCTCATAATATACAAATTTATTTGCACGAGATAAAAGAGAATGAATTTGTGTACTTTATGAATTAATTTTTTTTATCATTTTATTTTATTGGCGGACACACCTCTTTAAAACTTCTGGATCTGCCACTTACTTAAGGAGAATGATAACGACCGGGAAATAATGGACGCTCAATATGGTCTGGTTTTGGCGTTTAAGCCTATGAGCTTAAGAAGTTGCTTAAATAATTCCTATTGGCTTATATGAATTTAGGTAATTAATGAGAAGCCAATGGTTAATAGGTTGGGGTGTACAATGATCGGTCCGTAGCAGACCACACCGGACCAACTCAATATTTGGATCGGACCAAACCGAAACGAGTATAATGTGATCCAATCCTTAGTTCTATTAATTTTATAATTACTGAAGAAAATATGGACCAAATTGATATGTGGACCAGACCACACCGAACCAAATGCATCAAATACAATGATGGTCCAGTTCTTGGTTCTAAAATACCTTTCACTTGATCCAGTCCGGACTAGACCGAATCGTTGCACACCCTATTAATAGGCGGTTAAGGATAATTAAGGTATTAGTATTATTTTTAAATTAATAAATTACAATAAAAGATTAAAAAATGGGAACATAAACGATCTCACTTTTCTTTCCACCAACTCCTCTCCATCACTCTCTCTTGAAAACGGCTAGTTAGGTTGCACAACTAAATCTGGACCATTAGTTTAAAGGGCCTCAGTCCATATCTAAGCGTTGAGAATTAAATGTTTTTTATTTTTCCTAGTTTTTTTAATCGGCTCTTATCTCTTTCTTTCTAACTTGTTTTTTTTTTATTGCAAATATGGAACGAGATCGTTGTGAACTACAAAATGATATCCATTTTCAATATATTTCCACCTATTTCTCTTCATCACTCTCTCTTCTCTCCGTCACTCTCTTTTGAAAATGACTCAAGTTAGGGTGCATAACCTTGCATAACTAAATCTGAGCCCTTAGTTTAAAGTGAGTCCAGACGAGTCCAGGTCTAAGCGTTGGGAATTAAATGTTTTTTTTAATTTTTTCATAGTTTTCTAA